GGTCGCAATATTAAAGATAGAACTTTGAAATTTTGCACATATATTATTATTACTCCTAGGATGTTTGGTATTGGAAATGGGATATATCGGTCCACGTTTTAGTATATCGCCATATAACGGTTATATATGTTTGCATGTTTTATACATATATTTAGCAAATTTTTCATAATGCCCCAAAAATCTAACAGTTGAACCATGAAACGCATACATGCACAATTAGATTTCTATAGGTTAAAAATAAAGAAAGCACACAAATTCGAAAACTACCCTGAATTTTTTTTTGTTTTTTTTGTTGATTAAAATGATTGCATATGTGAAATATGTTGCTCATATTTGCACATATATTGCATATTTTTCATATTTTTTGCATATTTCTCGCATATCGACCTAGCATACCGTGCATATTTTTTGTATATTTGCATATTTTGCATATTTTGCATATTTTGCATATGTTTGCATATATTTTTGCATATTTTGCATATATTTTGCATATTTTTGCATATTTTGCATATATTTTGCATATTTTGAATATGTTTGCATATTTTGCATATGTTTGCATATTTTTGCATATTTTGCATATTTTTGCATATATTGCATATTTTTGCATATTTTGCATATTTTTGCATATTTTTGCATATTTTGCATATGTTTGCATATGTTTGCATATATTTTGCATATATTTTGCATATTTTTGCATATTTTGCATATATTTTGCATATTTTTGCATATTTTGCATAGTTTGCATATATTTTGCATATTTTTGCATATTTTGAATATGTTTGCATATTTTGCATATGTTTGGATATATTTTGCATATATTTTGCATATTTTGCATATTTTTGCTTATTTTTGCATATTTTGCATATTTTGCATATTTTTATATTTTGCATATATTTTGCATATTTTGTATATTTTTGCATATATTTGCATATTTTTGCATATGTTTGCATATGTTTGCATATATTTTGCATATATTTTGCATATATTTTGCATATTTTGCATATTTTTGCATATTTTGCATATGTTTGCATATATTTTGCATATATTTTGCATATTATTGCATATTTTGCATATATTTTGCATATTTTTGCATATTTTGCATATTTTTGCATATTTTGCACAGTTTGCATATTTTTGCAGATTTTGCATATGTTTGCATATTTTGCATATATTTTCCATATTTTGCATATGTTTGCATATATTTTGCATATTTTATGCATATATTTTGCATATTTATTGCATATCGACCTAGCATATTTTGCATATTTTGCATATCTCGTGCATATGCAAAATATGCAAAAAATTAAAAAATATGAACCCTTCAAATAATTCTAAATCCTTTGAAACGAATTTGTGTCCAATCAGAATTTCGATATCTTCTTTATTAAAAAATATGCAAATATGCAAAATCCGAGGTCTACTTATATTTTGTGTTTGTTGGGGCCTGAAATCATTAAATGTCATCCCAATTGTACAGTTGTAAATAAAATGGATTTTTTTTAAATGGGGTTATATAATGTAAAAAAATTGTTAATCTTATCTTGTTTTACTCGATTAATGGCTGAACACATTATATTTATGTGGAAGCATGAATTAAAATAACTAAGTCCTAATTTAGATTAGGCGAGTTTACTTGCCGCAAGTCTTTGTTTGCTGGAGAGAGGGGCAAGGGGAATATAAATGGAAAAAAATTGCTCGTACCGACAATTTTCTGGCAATTCGTTTTGTGTATTTGGTTTGTACTGTCATTTCAGAAAAAATAATTCAATTCAGAAAATATATGTTTGCAACCGAATTGCCTTGTATAGACGCATGAAGCAAGTTCAAAAGAGAACGATAAGAATTGCCGCAAGTATACTCGACTAATATAAATCAGGACTAATTGTAATACAAAAACAACATTATTGTTATAGAAAATAAATTCTCAATGCCTAAAATTGAATATTAGGGTTGGTCATAGAACTTTTTCGGAATATATTTCTATATATAGGGGAGAGGTGGGCACCTTTGAACACTCTTTGCTTTCAAGCCTTATAAAATTTTTTATTTTATAATTTTTGGTTTCTTAAAAATTTTAACTAATAGGTACATATGTAACATTTAAAAATGAATATACATATGACATACTATAAGCTTTATAAATATATATTATTACTGCCCCCCAGGGGGGCAGCTTTGAACAGGGGATGGCATTTTTGAACGACATGGTTTTTTACAGTGTTTATGTTCAAATATGTATGCATTTTATTCATGAAATGCATGAATTCATTAAAAAATATATAAAAAATGTTCAAAAATTTAGATCAAAAGTCATTAAAACATAAAATGACTTAAAAACAAAAATTAATATGGTGAAAAATACAGTTAATTTCGTAACCTTATTAGCCCATTTGAAATTTTGAGAAATCGAAGCCAAAAGTTAAAAACTCCCTTTTTTACTCGAGTTTAATGGGCATGTTCAAAGGTGCCCCATCCATGGCATTTTACGGAAATTTAAAATAACTTTTTTTGTAATAAATATATATGAAAGAAATTACATTAGTTATGTTTGAAATGATTGTTGGAATGCAAAAAATTTGTTTGACGAAAGAAAACTATAACAGAATTCTTCTTCCAAATGAATAAAAGTTTACAATGACACTGAGAAAACATGGTCACCCATGCACAATTTTTCGACAACTGAAAAAGCAAGCCAAATTGGTTTACGCATATAGAGAACAAGATTGTCATATACAAAAATGTGGTTGGGGGTCGGAAAAATATTAAACCAAGATTTTATGGGCGCTGTTCAAAGATGCCCCACGTTCAAAGGTGCCCCACTCTCCCCTATATATATAAATCATTAATTCCCTAAATAAAAATATTGTTGTATTAACGCACTAAAATAGCACACTATAAAATTCATCTCTTACTTTTTCTGGTATGTTTTGGGACCAATTCAGAATGATCACATTTAGAATATTATTTGAAGTTAAGGCTCTAATATATTCTGACAATTAATTAAAAAAAAAATAATAAAAAACAGGAAGTCGTTTAAGCCATTTTTTTCATATATTGCGATATTTAAGGCTTTGTGTTTGATTTGTTTCAAAAATATTGTTAAGTGGTATTAATTTTGTTTGTGACTTTTTAAAATGTATACGTTTTTATTTCTAGATTACTTCTCATGTAAATTCCCTGGATTTCTAGATGTTATTTTCCAGTAAAACGGGAAATAACATTTCTAAATATATACACATGTTACCAAAATTGTGTGACGCAATTTTATGTTAAATACGTATATGAGTCGTTTATTTTGAAAGTGGTTTAAGTGCATTATGTCTTATATTGAGATATGCAAGTATTTGTGTTTGATTTGTTTCAAAAATATTGTTAAGTGATAGGGAATATTAGGAGCAAGCTAATATAATTTTAGCGTAAATTACCGCAAATATAATAAAAATTAAATAAGGAATACCTTATTTGCTGTATTAAAAAGAAAATTCAAAATAATACGTTTTTTACACAGCTAATTCATAACTACTGTATATATGAATGTAATTGTACGATTGTATGTAAGCATGTAATTAATTATTAAAGTTTTAATTGAGATACGATTTGTTTACACCATATTACATATTTGTCGTTTACCATTCAATTTCAACCCCCATTGTCAGGTGGAATACTGATGATGGGACACATCAAGTGGGTTGGACAAAAGTGAATTTTGTGCTGAGGTGTAAAACTTCCAATAAGTGATTAGACAATAATCACCAAGGTTACGATGCCCATACACCGGCAACATATTGCTCCCCTCGCGACTAATAAAATCAAATGCATTGAAACAGGCCAAATGTGTTGTTCGTTGTAATTACTAACATGTCTAGAATGGAACTGAATCGAATCGAACAAAAAAATAACACTATAATTCAATGGTGGACGAGAGAAGGCGAAATTGTTGTAATCCCCAACTCCTGTACATATGTGACACAATGTAAACACAATTAAAGTCGTGAAATGCAATCTAAAAGTTACAGTATTTTGAAGGAATACAAATATTCAGCACTATTATAAAAATGTTGGGAATTTGGAAATTTGAATTCCCTCATCCAAAAATAATAGTAAATTTATATTGTACCGGATTAATTGTCAATTCCATTACATATTTGTGAAATAAACCCTCATATAGAAGGTTAATACGGCATTTACATTAGAACTTTTTACCGGGTTAACCTACTCTATGTGGATTTATTTGGCATGTATACAATGGAATTGACAATTGAAACCCACTGGGTTAACGAAAACCGGTATAATGTAAACGTACTATAACTCCTGTAAAAGGTTCTAATGTACAAGTAATTTAATTAAATTGAATTTACATTTTCCAAATCTAAAAATATTTATAATGAGAGTGATTGGGAAATAAAAAAAATGCACAATATTTTTTAAAACGTACTTTTGACATTTTTTATAAAAATCGATTATTTCAAATGACTAAAAAGATTCACGCCTCGTTTAACGTATTTTTAAATTCTTAGCTGTATTTTTAACTGAATTGACTATAATTTAACATGTTCTAACTTGGTAGGTAATATTTTAATACAGATTTAGTGGACTTTTTATATTTTAAAAACGATGTAGTTGTAATTCATATACGATGTAGTTGTTATTCATATATATACATACATATAACATTTCAAAACACTGTGCATTGGCGTGCGTGTGAGTTGTGGCTAACCACCCACGTGTAAACACAATTATCCTTTCATTAGCCACATCAGCTTGGTGGTCAGTCAGTCTATCTATCAGTGCAACTATCTAAAAGGGAAACAGTCAACACATACTCATTAACAATATCTGTTTTCGTGGTTATTGCCATTTTCGAATTGAAGTTAGTTATATTTTGGAATTTGTCGGAGTAATAACCATTTCCGGAAAGTTAATAAGTCGTTCGTTTTTATTTGAAAATTTAAGTCAAGGATACATATTGTATTTTATATGTTCAAGGATAACTATTTGAAATGATTGTTCCACGCTTGAAATTCATTCATATACTTCTATTATTTTTAAAAATACTATCACGGAGATATTTGCTGGTTTCATCACAAACAAGTCAAAATATTAATGTTTGTAAGTATTATGTAATATGTATATCTAATAGATTCAGCTATATATTATACAATTTGTTTGAAATAATGCAAATATATACTGTATACTTATTTTAATGTATAGATTATCGATTTTTTAAAGCTAAATTTATAACATTATTTATTAATATGTAAACACATGTATCAAGTTTTTACAATTGCGCAGTTTAATTGCGTCTTTGAGTAAAATCTACAATATTTCATAGGGTGCAGGACTTGGATATAAGAGCTATTATTATATAATTTAGTATTTTCAACATAATTCTTTTGATATTTTGAAGTTTTTTTTTGGATTCAATACCTTATAACATTAAAACAAAACATGTACATCTTTTTCTGCATTATGCAATACCAACAATCTCTGTGGTTTGTTATATTTTAAATTTTTGCCATAAATGATGCATTTCTTGGTTTGTATGTATTTGTATGTATGTATTTTAATTTGCTGAAGTTAAGGAAATCTTTATGGTTTAAGGCACGTTAAAACTATAATTTGTATCTCGATTTAGTTGCTAAATCGAGCTAAATTTACTTCAATTTACTGTGCAAAATTAATTCCACTAATTATCTCGATTTGTTCGAAATCCTATTTTAAATTGAGATAACATTTAAATAGAAGAATACAATAATTTAAAAAGAGGAATAGATAAATTCTTTTTAGTATTATGAGAACCACTGAAATGTATTTCCGGTCAAAGTTGAAGAATGCATCAATTCTAATATAATGACTATAAATGTAGATACTGCATAAATACAAATGCAATACAATGATATTGACGTATTTTGAAGCATACTTTTAGGATAAATGTTTATCTTTTTTTGTGCAAAAGCAGTTTTGAAGGACATATAACAGCTGACAAATCCACATCATTTCATTTTAATACTAGTCTAAACAGCTAGGATTTTTTATCTCGATTTGCAAATCGAATGGATTTAGAATGTATAGTCTAAACCACAGTCGGGCGAAGCACCGCACGCGTGCTCTCTCGCGAGAGTAAGTATCGCTATTCTCTCACACACATTCAACTGAACCAATTGAAAAACCATTGACACACACACAAAGACAAGTGCGTGAGAACAGAATTTTGCATGCTCTGCCCGTGCCTGGTCTAAACACACCTTAAATTAATATAATGCACATTATCACGATAAAAGCTATTGCTATTTAGAATGCGTAATCTAAACGCGCCTTAAATCGATATAATGACGATTATCACGATAAAAGCTATTGCCATTAATAAAAACTAAAATTATTTTTATTATATTTTTTAATTTATAAAAAGAAAATAAAAAATGTTTATCCATCGCTACAACAAAAATCTGCTTTGAAAAGGACTGTTTCTAGTATGAAGGCAAATGTCGAACCTTGACAAATTTGAATTTAATTCGCATATGCAAGTTCGCATCAGTGCGAAATAAATACATGTTATCAACATATCAACGACCTTTGTAAAGCCACATAGTCCAATATGCCTGAACAACCGCTTAACCAACGGCGAAACGTGTCGCATAATGGTGGGTAGGTCCTTCTCCTGGCTTTCGTTTTCATTGCAAAACTTTGATCATTAAGTTCGACTCGAAAGAGTATAAATAACTCAATTAAAAAGAAAATAAAAAATAATGAAGAAGATTTTGGCTGGTTCTGGAATAAAGCATTTGTTGGTCATCAGTTACTGAGTAATTTTTACGGCCAATTTAGAAGTCAGCATTTCAATACTTTTCGTATCCTTCTAGTATACACTTCCAAAACCCCAGTTTCTATCGGACTTTGATTATTGTTAGTATACCACATATTCTCCAAGTCGTATTATTCAACAGCAAGCAAAAAAGTCAGTTATCATATGAGCATAACGCTGCGCATTGGTAAATGTCCTTCCATAGTCGTTTTCAAAGAAGTAAAGTTCAATCAGAATCTCAAGAGCGCACAAAACTGTGACTTTTTCTGGATTTATCATTTGAGAATTCTCAACATTTTAATAGGTTCGTTCGTTTACTCAATAATTTGTACGAATTTGTACAAATTATTACAAAATGTTGTTCGTTTACCCAAAAGTCCAGTAAAAGAGAGTGAATTGAGAGAGCAGATTTGACAGTTGTGTTACTGAGTATTTGCTAATTCTTACAAGGAAAATTTACTCAGTAAGAATTTTCTTGTACCATCAGCTGATATTTAATCAGCTGTTTTGTTATGTTTTGTAAAAAAACAAAAAATTGTTCTCAAGAAAATTGATTGTTTTGTGAATTTTATTTTGATTTTGTATCATTAAATACCAAAATGGATGTAGAAAACGCAAGTATTTAAAAATAAGGTGTTTGTGGGGAACAAACAACATCAATTTTCCGCTTGTTATCCATTTTTCTAATAAAAATGTTGTTTTTTAGTTTGCGCCAATTTGTTTATTGTTTTAATCAGCTGTGTCGAAACAATCTTTTTACTGGATGTTGTTCGTTTACTTTTTGCAGTTTTCTCTCTTGAGAAGGAAAAAATCGTATTTACTCTCTGCAAATTCTCACTGAGTAAATATTACTGGGAAAGTAAACGAACGAACCAATGTGTTGTGAGATAGTTAAACGATCCACTAATGTCAATGTCAAACTTTGAACTGAAAAGAATTACTGCCCCATACTTTTGAAACCACGAAATGGATAACCTTTTATATTATTAACCTTACTTTTCCCCGCCAATTTTAGTGTTCATCAATGAACTTGACAATGACCCTGCATCGAAAGCTATCGATATCGTTCAGACGTATTTAAAGAAAAATGCAAATTATGGTTTGTCGGTGCAAATCGATAAAATTGAAGCGAATAAAACGGATGCTAAAGCTTTGTTGGAATCAAGTAAGATGCAAACAACTTAAACGCCTAAGCAACTATTAAAAACTATTTATGTAATTTATTTTTGTTTAGTTTGTGTAAAATATGCTGAAAGTGTTGATAACAAACAGCCACCACATGTGGTATTCGACACAACAAAGTCTGGTATAGCATCCGAAACGGTTAAATCTTTTACACAGGCTTTGGGATTGCCCACAGTAAGCGCATCCTATGGCCAGGAAGGTGATCTGCGACAATGGCGAGACATGGAGGAAAGTAAACAAAAATATTTGCTGCAAGTAATGCCACCAGCTGATATAATACCAGAAGTTGTACGCAGTATTGTCCGAAAGATGAATATAACCAATGCTGCCATCCTGTACGATAACACCTTTGTCATGGATCACAAATACAAATCGCTTCTGCAAAATATTCAAACACGTCATGTTATAACGGCTGTGGCGGAGGGTGAAAGTGCCAGAGCAGATCAAATTGAACGTTTGCGTAATTTGGATATAAATAACTTTTTTATATTGGGTAGTTTGAAGACAATTGGACAAGTACTTGGTGGGTTTTTGGAAATTATGAAGAATTTGACATGTTTGCAACTCTTCAATGATGTTTTATTTCCCTTTTATAGAGTCGGTTAAGCCGGCATTTTTTGAGCGTAATTTTGCCTGGCATGCGATTACACAAAATGAGGGCGAGGTAAGCAGTAAACGTGACAATGCTACCATTATGTTCCTGAAACCTATTGTATATTCCCAAAATCGTGAACGTTTGGGACAATTAAGAACCACATATAATCTAAATGAAGAACCACAAATAATGTCGGTGTTCTATTTCGATTTAGCTCTAAGGACTTTCTTGGCAGTAAAGTGAGTTGTGATTATTGATATTTGTAAAATATATTTTAAATTATTAACTATTTAATTCAGAGATATGCTGCAATCAGGTGCTTGGCCTGCTAATATGGAATATTTGGGTTGTGACGATTTTCAAGGTGGTAATACTCCAGAAAGAAATATTGATTTGAGGCAGGCATTTGTTCAGGTAAGAACACGGTTAACGGAAATCGTAATTAGACATATCGATTTTTATGTTCGAATGGGCATCGTTGAACCACTCAAACCTAAAGGTATAAATGTGTTCATTCGATGGTAACAATGGCATCGGCTTCGATACTCATGACTCTCAGCTTTGGGAATTAAGGTCGCATTTTTTTGCTCCATAAATTGGGCAAAAATTTAGCAGATCGCCTTGCCGATGTTATTACTAGGGATTTTGGTATAATATCACCTTGTGATCCGAAAAGGGACCTACCCAAGATACATTGCAATTCCTACTATCGGAGTCATAAATATTTGTGGGAGTAATGTCAAGAGCATGGCATAATTACAGGAGGTAGTCTCATTTGAGAACGTGATGATGGCAACCCTTTTTAATTTGGAACTCATCTATCAATTTTATATAATATGAAAAATAAATTCCATAAAATTTTATAAATGTCGATTGGCATCTTTTCAATAAATTGAATTGTTTTAGAGGCAGGGATCTTCAAAATATTTATAAATATACCTTATTTATCAATTGTTGTCACTGAACACATAATATGCGTTACATTTCGAAGGAAGATATTTTTATTTAAATTTTGAAAGCTGAATACTGTCAAAGGCAAATTTATGAAAAAATTGGAAACATATGACTGCATGAGACTACCTTGTATAATTATGCCGTGGGCAAGAGCTTACCGCATAAACTTAATCCAAAACATACTCTATCATCAAATTAAATTATTATCTAAATCATTTTATTGATACATTTGCATTGTCATTTTATTTCAATTAATTATAAATTCTTGTATTATCGAAATCACAACTTGTTAATAACATTTAACATCGTGTTAACACATTCGGGTGTTAATCGATTGTCGTTATTATCGTTTGTGAATAAATCAAAGATTTTCATTTTGATTTTAGGTTACCGAACCGACATCATACGGTGATTTTGAATTGGTCACGCAACCAGGAAAACCATTCAATGGTTACAGTTATTTCAAATTTGAAATGGATGTAAATGTTGTACAAATTCGAGGTGGTAATTCCGTCAATAGTAAATCAATTGGCAGTTGGACAGCTGGTTTAGATTCCCCACTTGTTGCTAATGATGAGGAAGCTATGAAGAACCTAACTGCTGATACTGTATATCGAATCTTTACGGTTGTGGTAAGTATAATATGTATAATAAAGCTCACAAATTTCCATTATTATATATTTTTACATTCTCATAAACTCCCTTCTTTCAGCAAGCACCATTTATTATGAGAGATGAAACGGCGCCCAAGGGATACAAGGGCTATTGTATTGATCTTATCAATGAAATTGCCGATATTGTACATTTCGATTATACCATCGAAGAGGTAGAAGATGGCAAATTCGGCAACATGGATGAAAAAGGTGAATGGAATGGCATCGTAAAGAAACTGATAGACAAAAAAGCCGATATTGGTCTGGGATCAATGTCTGTGATGGCTGAACGTGAAATAGTCATCGATTTTACGGTACCCTATTATGATTTAGTTGGTATCACTATTATGATGCAGAGACCAAGTACACCTAGCTCGTTGTTCAAATTCTTAACTGTGTTGGAGACAAATGTCTGGCTATGTATCCTGGCCGCATACTTCTTTACCAGTTTTCTTATGTGGGTCTTTGATCGCTGGAGCCCGTACAGCTATCAGAATAATCGAGAGAAATACAAAGACGACGATGAAAAAAGGGAATTTAATCTGAAGGAATGCCTGTGGTTCTGTATGACTTCTTTGACACCTCAAGGTGGTGGCGAAGCACCGAAAAATCTTTCTGGACGTTTAGTGGCCGCCACATGGTGGTTGTTTGGGTAAGTTGCCAATGCTATAATTATCAAACGTAATAACTGACATTGTTTCATTGTTCCTGCAGCTTCATTATCATTGCTTCATACACTGCCAATTTGGCTGCTTTTCTGACAGTGTCACGTTTGGATACACCCGTGGAATCATTGGATGATCTTGCCAAACAATATAAAATATTGTATGCCCCACTAAATGGTTCATCGGCAATGGTCTATTTTGAGCGAATGGCAAATATTGAACAAATGTTCTATGAAATTTGGAAAGATCTGTCACTCAATGATTCGCTATCGCCCTTGGAAAGATCACGCCTAGCTGTATGGGATTATCCGGTTAGTGACAAATATACGAAAATGTGGCAAGCCATGCAAGAGGCACAATTACCGGCCACACTAGATGAGGCGGTTCGAAGAGTTCGTAATTCAACCACAGCAACTGGATTTGCATTCTTGGGAGATGCTACAGACATACGTTATCTTGTAATGACTAACTGTGACCTTCAAGTGGTGGGAGAAGAATTTTCACGTAAGCCCTATGCCATAGCAGTGCAGCAGGGTTCCCATCTAAAGGATCAGTTTAATAATGCGTAAGTATTTCAATTTCACTCCTATTCTAACATATATAGACTCATAAAATGTTTAATTTTCAGAATTTTGACTCTACTCAACAAACGACAATTGGAAAAGCTCAAAGAGAAATGGTGGAAAAATGATGAAGCTCAAGCCAAGTGTGACAAACCGGAAGACCAATCCGATGGTATTTCAATTGAGAATATTGGTGGTGTATTTATTGTGATTTTCGTTGGCATTGGAATGGCTTGTATTACACTGGTCTTTGAATACTGGTGGTACAAGTATCGTAAAAATCCCCGTATTATTGATGTTGCTGAGGCGGCATCGACACCACCTGGAAAAGATGTGAAATTAGCCGAAGGCATTATACTGGGTCAAACCGGCAAGGAATATGAAAAGGCAAATGCCGCTTTGCGTCCCCGTTTTAATCAATATCCCCATAATTTTAAACCTAGATTCTAAATGTGTAAAATGACATTCTAACAAAAATTATACCATTTTGAGTGTTTATTGTTTATATTGATAATCGTGCACATTTGACGTTGCTTTTAATAAATTGCACCGTTTAAAGTTTCATTTTTTTAGAATCATTATGTATTTTATCATGCGGTATGTATGGAGTGGATATACTCATGGTACTGTGGTTTGTTATGCCAAATCCATATACAAAATGTGTGAGTATGTGTAATGTTTTGAAAAAATATAACAAAATAATCAGCCTTATTCTGAACTATGACTTATTCTGAACAACATTTCATAGTGATTTTTTTTAGCATTCTCGCTTTTGCCTCATTCTGAATGAAGTTCGAAAGCGAAAAAATCCGCTATGGGGAAAAATTAATTATTCTGGATTACAGGAAGTGGGAGAATGGGATGACATTTTTTGCGAAATTTTTCACTAATAAAGTAATACATATTTTTATAAAAAATATCTACACTACCGTTTACCATTTTTACTCGGACAAATTTTTCGAGCAAAAAGTTTACAAAGAGAACGTTATTTATTTTTGTTCAATATTTTACCAGTTTTGTGGGTTCAGCAACGGTTTTCGAGTACAAAGTTGCAAAACTTGTAAAATTAGTAGATTAGTTATTCTGGATTACAGGTAGTGGGAGAATGGGATGACATTTTCAGTGTTCAGTAACGGGTTTAGAGGGTTCAGTAACGGGTTTAGAGTAAAAAGTTGCAAAATTAGTAGATTCTTTTGGGGCCTGGAACGGATCTACAATCAGCCTTATTCTGAACTACGACTTATTCTGAACAACATTTCATAGGGAATTTTTAGAATTCTCGCGTTTACTTCATTCTGAATGAAGTTCGAAAGCGAAAAAATCCGCTTTGGGAAAAAATTAATTATTCTGGATTACAGGTAGTGGAAGAATGGGACGACATTTTTTACGAAATTTTTCGCTAATAAAAACATAAGTAATACACATTTTTATGAAAAATATCTACACAATACATATTCTATAATTTGAAACTCGAAAACAACTCAACCAAACATTGACATGGAATGTATAAAGGTAATAAGGAATATTTAAGCCGAGTTTGATGCATTTTGGATGCGAAATAAAGACATTTTGGGCAAGAATCTGTCCCTTCAAAAAAAAAAAAAAAAATAATAATAATAATAAAAATTATGGAAAAAGCACATTGCCTAATTTGCCTGGCGAGCGCTGAATACGTTTTGTAGGACAAAATAAAGGAGATGGAGCATATCATAAAATAATATGGAGAGATAAAATAATATGCCATGCATTTACCATTAAGTTCAATTTCAGGCCCGTACCTATATTCTGTGTGTTGTGTACCAAAATACCCACCCACCTTTATAGGGTTGTTGAACGTCCGTATTACCCAAATACGCAAGAACCTTATTTACTTGTGTGCCAATTGAAAACGGCGAAAATGGAAGAAAACATTTTCTTAATTACCTGAAAAATATTTATTAAACCACCATCGTAAAAATAACATCGTACGAATACGAATGAATTTAGGTACGACCCTCAGAGACTAGCACCCTGTTTTTGTAAAATTCAAAAATCATATTAAAAAAAGGTTTTTTGATTTACACCGAAAATAATTGGCATATTTTAAAACCAATGAGTTTGGTCGTACGCCACTCGAATTCGTTCAGAGAAAAGTAAGATTTTGAAAAATATATCGTAATTTAATTTAAAATGTTTTGGTTTTGACTTGGTCAAAATTTAAAATCAATGGCTGATCGAATTGTGCTGGATAAATCTTACTGGAACAAATTTATCCAGTAACATTCAGTAAGTTCTCAGCGTAGAACTATCAAACTAGCTCTCTCTTTTACTAAATTTGTGAATAAACAGATAATATTTAGCAACATTTGGTAACAATTGTTACCAAATATCGAGTCACCATGCACCGCGAATGTTTCTTTGAAACGTCACACATGAATTCAGTTCAGAATTCATTTCATTAAAGCAATTTTAGAAACAACATATATCATCGGATTTCTCTACATTTCATTTTAAGGAGATAACCCATATTTGCAGATGATTTTCATTTAAGAGAAAATTCAAATATCAAATTCTAATAAAAATTTGACTTTAAATCGTATTTTTTTATTTAAAATTGATGGTATTTTTTTTTCTTTTTGTAAATAAGTGTGAGTGTGTATATGTATATGTAAACAAATACCAGCTGACAGTCATTTGAAATGATCTCAAAACCAGTGTAAAAACCTTAATTTATTTTCAGGATTTCGTAAATCAACATCATAAAAAGTGCGTAAATGCGCTATTAATAAAACAACAAGAGTGTAAAAGTGTACTCCTTCAGGTTTTCAACTGATATGGTAAGTCTTGTTTTATTAACGAATGCGACTGTTGTTGTTGTTGTTGTTGTTGTAGCAACTATCTTCATGTTTGTTGTATTAATCTGGTTCTGACTCCTCTGTTTCCAGGTTCAGGAAGGTTGCAACCTGTAACGGCTGCGTCCAAAGAGATTCCGGAGACAGATGAGTGGGTTTAGCAGGGCAGTTAAAGAGATGCAGCGTATCATGGGGTCCAAATCCACATGCAGGGCATGTGTTTGGAACCGCGCTGTCAATTCGGGCCCAATACGAATTGAGGCGGCTGCACCATCCTGATCTTAGTTGGGCTAAAACCACTCTCGTTTGTCTAGGCAGCTCACGTTCTTCTGCTGCTATAGGTGGTGGGTGGACTCCAAGTACAGCATTCACACGGTATTGGTCCATTGCCTGGGTCACTGCTTCCGTGTGAATGTTGGTAATTCCTGCTCGATAAGCCTCAAGATCTAGGGGTTCTCTCTTATACCGTTGGACCTCTCTCTCTAGATCCTGTAGGTCTCTCCTTACGTGCCTGGGTGGGGGAATTCTATCCATAAGATTATGGCATGGATGATTCCTGCGATAACACCCAAGCAGGTACTGCATCGACAACATCCTGTTGTGCCGATGTACGGGTAAGACCATTGCCTCCTCATGTAAATGGTCCACTGGCGTCATAAGGAGGCACCCTGTCGCAGTTCTCAGGGCGGCATTCTGGCAGGTTTGTATGTTCTTCCACTGCGTATCGCTTACATTCGCATACCACACTGGCGCCGCATAGCTTACCACCGACCGACCTATTGCTTTGTAAGAGGTCAACAAGGTCTCTTTATCAGCACCCCAAGAGCTGCCGGCAAGCGACTTGAGGACCTTGTTCCTACTTCTCATCTTATCGCAAATAGCGGTGGCTTGCGCGGACGACTTAAATAAGCTATCGAACGTTACTCCCAAAATTTTTGGGTAATTAGTGGTCGGAATTATTACACCATCGACCATGACGTTCAGAGGGAGCTTCATTTCAGCCGTCCATGTGGTGAACAGTGTGGCTGTGGATTTGGCGGCGGATATCTTCATATTCCTCAGATGGAAGAACTGTACTAAATCAGCTATGTAGACATTTAACCTTTCACAAATGTCATCGATAATAGGCCCCGACGCCATGATCGTACAATCATCCGCGTACATTACGATCTCAATGCCGTCCGGTGGTTGTGGAATTTCAGAAAGGTAGAGGTTAAACAGTTCCGGAGATATGACCCCACCTTGGGGAACTCCCTGTTTCACTCTACGGGGTTTAGACTTCTTGTTTCTGAATTCCACATATGACTGGCGACCACACATGTAATTGATTATCCAACGTTTCAAACTAGGCCGGAGGTTGGTCTTCTCTATGTCCTCGAACAGCTTGGCGTGATTGACAGTATCGAAGGCTTTCGATAAGTCAAGAGCCACCAAGACTGTTCTGTCACACGGCCTGTTCTGGTTAAGTCCTCTACTTACATGTGTGGTTATGGCGTGTAATGCTGTGGTCGTACTATGCATTCTTCGGAATCCATGTTGATGTTGAGGGACTGGAAACCTACTTCTCATCAGAGGGAGGAGTAGTGACTCAAGCGTCTTTGCTACTGGAGACAGAAGGGAAATCGGCCTGTACGATTCACCTCTGCTGGCATCCTTGCCTGGCTTCAGTAGCGGGACCACCCTGCCTATTTTCCAGGCTTCAGGAACAATGTGGGTGGCTACCGACAGGTTGAGAACAGCAGTTAAATACTCCACTCCAGGTTCATCCAGTTGCTTCAGCATTATCATTGAGATTCCATCCGGGCCCAACGCTTTGGATGATTTAGCGTTTCGAATGGCATCTGCAACATCATCCTTCGAAAATTGTGGTGGTACCTCCTCGGCTCGGAGGGCTCTAATGCGACGAAGCACACTCCTTTTCGCCATGTCACTCTCGGGGTGCTCAATAAACTGCCGGTTAAAAAAACTCGCGCACCTCTTCGGATCAGTCAACGTTACGTCGTTAAACGTGACAGCCGTTCTATCATCCTTCCTTCCAGGATTCGAGAGTGACTTAACCGTTGCCCACAATTTACTTGTTGCGGCTCCAATGTTGCAGAGCTTCAGGTGGTCTAGCCACTTTTTCCGCTTGTGTTCGCATACTAACCTGTTGACTTCAAGGGTGAGTTCCTTCACTCTTGGGTCTTCAGGTGTTGTACGGCGAAGCTCATCACGCTCATTCGCAAGCACCGTCGCTTCTGCTGGGAAGTTTGGTCTCACTTCGGGTATTCGACCAGCAGGTATATGGCGGGCGGCTGCAGCAGTGATGATGTCTCGGAATTTCTTCTCAGCTACCCGAGGATCTGAGGGAATGGGCAGCTCTCTGAAGCGGCGATTGGTTAAATCTCTGAAACCTTGCCAATTAGCTTTACCATGGTTCAGGAAAGTTCGGCGTTCAGAGGTTATGAAATCGGGTGGTCTATTTACGGAGACGATGATGGGGAGGTGGTCTGAACCAAGAGAAATGACGGGTTGCCAGATTACGTCATTAATCAGACCTGGTGCCACAATGGTGATGTCCGGCGAGCTGTGGCAATCTCCTCTAATTCTCGTGGGGGCATCCTCATTCACCGTGCAAAACGTGGAGCTGTCAATTTGCTCTGCCAGCGCTGTACCCCTCTGGTCATTACCTAGGACGGAATGCCAGAGTTCATGATGGGCATTGAAATCCCCTAGTACCAGACGGTTATTACCCTCCAAAAGTATACTAATGTCGGGTAAATAACGCGGGGTACAGCTATTTAACGGCGGGATGTACACGTTAAGCACCTCTATCTCGGCAGTACCACACTTGACTGCTACCCCCATACACTCCATATATGGGTCACTAGAGTCTAGCTCAAGCGAGATAGGTCTGTATTGTACAGAGTGGTGTAACAAGAAAGCAAGTCCCCCACCTCCGCTTCTAGTGCGATCCTTTCGTAACACGTTGTAACCATCGCAACGGTGCAAGCTACAGGTATCAGACAGCTTGGTTTCCTGGATCGCGGCGACCATGATGTTATTCCGATTCATAAAGTCTACGATTTCGCTGATTTTATTTCGCAGTCCATCGCAGTTAAACTGCAAAAACGATGCATTTCCGGGGCGTACTACAGCAACATGTGGTGTTAGACTCTGCGTTTGCTGCAGAGGAGACTGTGGGGGTGTCTCATAATCCGACGACGACGAAGACGTTGACGACGATAACGTTGGCGACGCAGGCGTTGGCGACGATGTCGTCGAAGACGAAGACGGCGAAGATGATGAGGACACGCTGGGAGATACGCTGACGCAGCATGCAGCAAAATAACTCCTGTCACAGTAGTCCTGGAGACGACTAAGACCCGAACAGCCGCGGAAATGCACCCATTCCATACATCTATTGCATCTCACCGACGTTGATCTGTGGTGGATGCGGTTCCGACAAACGGAACAGAACCAAGGTCCGGGGTTTCTTTCTATCCCGGCGCGGACCAGAAGAGTTCGGAGCAGGCATCCCGGGATATAACGCCTCTCCCATGATGAAAAAATACGGCACAAACATGTAGTAGTTGAGGTGGCAGCCCTTGGTCGAAGAATTCCTCCGAGTCAATCCGGTGCATAGAACCGGCCGCCGTGGGAATGCGACTGTTGTTTTTGTTGCCATTGTCGACTTATATAACCCTTTTACAAGTGTGTGATTGATCTGTAGAACCCTGGTTTTGTCGGTCATTAATTTTGTTTTGATTCCGGATATTTATCCATCATTTCGTTATACCTCTTATTTCTTTCTTTCTATTTTTTCTACGCCGTCATTTCTAACGCGTTAGCTTTGAATTCTGGAAACTGAAACTTCTTCGCATTTCGAACAATTCGTCTTAGTCATTGGTTAAGGAGACGGACCCTGAAGTAGTTGGATATATTTTTGTGTATATAGTTGTTTGGCATTTTAACAAATCAAAATGAGCGATAGTTCAGATGAAGAGTGGAGCGAGTCCTTTTTACCATACAGTCAACGTAACGAATGGAAAGATGTAACACCATTGCCACAGGATGATGGCGAGAATCCAGTTGTCGCAATTGCCTACAGTGCAAAATGTAAGCTATTGATGGTGATATGTTATGGAGTATATAATTTATGTTTATCTTGACTTTGTAGTTCGCGAAATCTTTGATTATTTCCGCGCTATATTAGCTCGCAAAGAGAAATCGGCTAGAGCCTTGGAGTTGACAACAGATGCTTTGCGCCTTAATCCGGCTAATTACACGGTGTGGCAGTATAGACGTGATATTTTGCGTGAATTGGGTAGCGACCTGAACGTGGAGTTGAACTACATCGAGGAAGTTATTACCGAGAATGCTAAAAACTATCAGGTCTGGCACCATCGCCGTGTCATTGTGGAAATGTTGAATGATCCATCCAAGGAGTTGGAGTTGACGGAAATGGCTTTACGAACTGATGCGAAAAATTACCATGCCTGGCAACATAGACAATGGGCCATTAGAACATACAAGTAAGTCTTGCATTGAATGTGATGCAGTTATTCACGCAGCAAAGAGGAAAAAGTCTAGTTTAGGCCCCCTCGCGGAGCTTTTTGAAATTTTTGCCACATGTAGTCCTTTTGGCCCTGATTACAATGGTATACTTCTTTTCTTGCGGAAATCGGTATTTCCGGAAATATGCGCCTCCAATGTTGTTAGCACATGTGGCTCTACGGGGCTTATTTAAATCATTTTCAACAAATTGATGTCATGATTATAAAATGTTTTTCCAAACCTGAGCATTTAAATAAAATGGTAGTCTTGGGTGGACGACCTTCGATCTGGGATTAAAGTCTTTCTACTAGGGAATAGCTACAATCCAGAATTTCCATTTAAATTCAAGTCTACCGAACTTTGGAAATCTATTTACTTCTACTTCTTCGTAATCAGGATCTCAATCGCTTCAAAATAATACCCATGTTGTCACAGTTATCGAATGTTATATTTTTTTTTTTAATTTTTGCTGTATGAGCATTTTGAATGAGTTTTTAAGTAAGCAATTAAAATTTACGTTTCCTTCTTTACATTCAGGATTTAATAGTTTTTTTTTAATGTCGTGATCCTTAATACTGTTTGAGACCTCATCCACAGTAGAATTAGTGTACTTAAAACATTCCTTACAACATAATTAATTCTATAAAAGGACTATACAATATTGATGTTTTTATTTTTCAGTCTCTACGATAACGAATTGGCTTTTACAGATCGTTTAATATCCGAGGATATGCGTAACAATTCCGCTTGGAATCAACGTTTCTTTGTACTTAAACATTTCGGTTTCACACCAGAAACAATACAACGTGAACTGCAATATACCATGGATCGTATACGCATTATTAAGAACAACGAAAGTTCCTGGAATTACCTTAAAGGTATTCTGCGACAAAGTGAAAATGGTTCACTTTCTCAATTTCCCCATGTCATAGCATTTTGTGAAGAGCTGTACAATAATAACTCTAGATCACCGTACCTAATAGCATTCCTGATTGATGTCTACAGTGAACAGTGTTTAGAATTGTCTGATGGTGGTGAACGCGAAACATTGGCCCGTAAAGTATATACACTGTGCGATGATATGTCCAAGAAACACGATATAATACGTCGCAAATACTGGCAATATGTTGCGGATCAGTTGAAATCTAAACTCGATTCGAAACAATTGTAAATGTCTAGCATCGAAAAGTGCCAAAAACAGCACGTTTCATGGGACTGCAAAAAGAAGTTAACTCTAGGTTTAGGTTGCCACCAACATTATTCACTTTCCAGGATTGCATAAAAGTCAGATGTTTTTTTAATGTTTGTGTTTTAATTTCATTGTCTATTTTTAATAAAAAAGGAAATCACTATTTACATAATAAATACTGTTTTTGTTGTTATTTATGAATATTTTAACAGTAGCTGTTGTCTAGTCAGGTATGTATGTTCTATAAACAGAGGGATTTGTTATCTGCAACGATATAGTTGCGTATGCTGTGAACGTGAATACTAAAATGTCAACAAAAATAGTGTTATCTAGAAAACAAATTCCAGATGTGGAGATAGGTAGGGTATAACATTGAATTGTATTACACAGGGTTATTCATTTCTTAATCTGTCAAATCTTGAACATATTGTTTGGTAATTTATGATATTTTCCTTATATGTAAATAAAATATCAAAAGTTTGTTAGAAATGTTTTAGAAAGATATACGATAAGAAATTATTGCAAAATGATGTTATCTTATGCTCACATATCACAAACAATTGTTATCATTTTATTAAACAATTTGCATTTACTAAGCTGTTGGTGAGTTCTTGGTAAATACAATGCACAATTTTTAGTGAAGCAACCATACACTAAATATATAAAGTTGTTGTGTAGACCTTTGGACGGTTGAATGTGCTAAATCCAAAATTATATCAGTAATTTCAATTTGCAGCGAATAGCATCGTTTCTCACCACTGGCGGTTGGAATATAAATCTCGTTGAAATCATCCTATTATAGGTCTGCCTAATGGATACAAAATGGAAAAATGCCCAGCTATTGTAAATAATTTAAACTGATTCTTTAAAAAAATCAACAATATTTATAGTAGAAATCGTTGTGATAAAGAAGACGTTAGAACCTATTAATAAACTGATCAAATCTAATGATGTCCTCAATTGCAGAACACTTCAAACTGACCTTATGGTCATAGACATACAAATTGGTCATCAGTGTTGCCAAAACTTTGTCCATAAAAAATGCTAGATTTTATTTTAAAAAATGCTAGAAAGTGCTAAAAAAATTAAAAAGTGCACTTATAGCTAATAATGAAATCTATATTTCTTAAAATTTGCCTTTTTGGGGAAGCCCCAACCGAATTAGCTATAATTTGAATTTGGAAACAAGTAAAAAAGGGTCAGTCCGTGTTGCTGACAGATATATACCCCAGCCTATGGTTTGCGGAGGTCTTCGGAAGTACACACAGATTTCATTAAATATAAGAAATATATAATATATTTGTAAATTACTGGGTGCAACCTTAGGAATTGATATAGGGTTGGTATAGATAATATACCAATGCAATAATAATTCACCTGAGGAGGTACCAGAATGGTCCCATCTTCGGACTTAAACTAGACTTCGATATTCACCATCTGCGAACTTAAACTAAGTTTGGAAGAAATATTAGGTTTGGATGAATTCGATTATTCCCTTCGAGAGTTATTGTGCACACCAGCCAGACAGACGGACATTTGTAAATCGACTTAAAATTTTCTGAAACGGATTTGGTGCAAAGAAACATTGGGTCTAGAACCAATATTTTGATGAGGCACATTTTCACCGTATCAAGGTGTATATACACTCATTAGCCATAAGATGTTTTAAGAAAATTTTAATAAACACCACGTGGTGCAGGGTGGTGTTAAACATGGTGTTTATAACAAGTTCGACCGGGTCGGGTTTTTACTTGTTAAAAGATATACTGACACTTCTTTAGTATTAAAAATAAAGGTCATAGCGTGAAACATAAAAAAAATCAATAGGTCTATGTGGAATCGAAAAACGGAAAATTTTTTAGCATAAAACCAAATAGGCGGACAATTTTGAAAATATCCAGAAAAAAATGCTAAAAAAGATGATATTTGCTAGATCAATTTTTTTTGGTGCTAAACGAGTTAAAAAGTGCTAAATCTAGCACTAAAATTGCTAAATTGGCAACACTGTTGGTCAGAGACATACGATGGACCAAATCGCAATTTTTAATATTTTCAACAACTACAAATCAACTCCGAAAATTGCCGTCTATCGAGCGACTCTTCCTGATATCTTACCAAAAAATGGGTCAACTTTTATAACAATTGAGTATTGTATATGATACAACTGTGCACATTTTAAAACAAATCAAGGTTTGAATAGGGATTGATCGACTACTTGCCAAAATTCCTCCACAATTTTCTTATATCTTTACAAATTGTGGATATCTAGGCCAGATTTTGGAAATGTATTTGGATTCAACCTTATTTAAAAAAAAAAATATGTTTGCATGTAAATTAAATAAAAATAGTAAATATATGTGTTACTATATTACTATTGTTCTGAAAAATAAAGTTGAATCCCAGAAAATTGTTTAATTTTCATTACAATATGTAAAAAAAATTTTGAATCTACCTTTTCCATTTGTCAATCTTGACTAATATGAAAATTACGAAAATAAAACACAATTGATGTTTTGTTTTACCAATGTTCTGTTTATTACCATTTCTCTTTAAGGTTTTTCATTTCACTTTTGTGTGTTTCTCAATCGAGAGTACATAGTTTTCTTCTTTTTTGTGTTTGGTTTACTTTCATTTGCTGGTCTATTATTTCATTTCATTATTTAAATTAATTGTATTCAGCTTTGGAGTTGTATTTTGATTTTTTATACGTCTTGCGTTGCATTATTTATTTTTTTTAAGTGACCTTTTTATTTATTTATTTTTTTTATAATTTCATAAAACATCTTTTCAGTTGTTGCTTTTCTGATTTATTGGAATTATTGTTGTTATTTTTGTTTTAATAAAAATGTTTAAATTGTTTATCGCTTTTAACTTAAAGCAGAAGAAGACATTTTTAATTTTTAAAAAAATATTTGTTTTTAATAGTTGTGTGTTGTTGTTGTTTTTTATATTTAAATATAGTATATAGATGTACGTAAATTGTCATAATAAATAGTAAATATTTGGGCAAAAAGCTTCAAATTTTTATATAAAAAAATTGGAAATAAATAAAAAACATAAAAATTAAAAAAACATATATATTTGAACCCTAAGACATTTAAAATGTCTTGTTTTTTGTTGTTGTTGTATAAATGTAGTTAAAAAGGATTATATAATAATAAATAAATAAATTTGAAATTTTTTTAGTGTCGTTGGCTTGTTTTTTCTTTTGTTTTGCACGACTTTTTCTTTTTGGTATCTTAAGGAAAACTATAGTTAAGTGTATTCAATTTTTTTTTTTGTTAAGGAGGTGTTTTTTTTTCTTTTTCATTGAAAAAATATTGAAATAAGTATACATGTTTTTTTTTTTTTGGTTTGTTTTGGAAATGTGACTAATATAAAAATAGGTATTTTCGCTAAACCAATACATTTGCATATAGTAGAGAGAATTGTGGTCTTGTTTAGTTTCCAATATATATTTTTTATTATTTAATCATAAATTTACTTTTAAAGTTTGTTAACTCAAATTGTTGCTGACGAATTCGAATATGTGAAAAAACGCATATATAACAATGTTTAATTATTTTCTGTTTTTCGAAATGGGCGTGATTATTTAAGTAGAACGAAAATCAATTCGAAATTGGAAGCGTAATAATCGATTGATCTAAGCACAGGTGGTAAACGTGGGGGTGGCCACGGGTTGCCAAAAAAGTGCTGACTATCATCACTATTCGGTAGTAATAACCAACTACGATTTCGAAGCGAATAGTACGGGTAAATTGAACCTTATATAGGATGTTTGATTGGGTATCTTTATCCAAATTAAAAACTCTGAGTCAATTAACTCTAACCGACATCTCAGGCACGTTGACTGATGACGATGTTGTAAAGTTGATTCCCCAAAACTAAGAAATTGTACATTTTACAACTACGGCATTTGACAACTCTTTAAATTTGTAAATAGTGATTCGAATTTGAAGTTCTGGGAATTTTAAACAGAGTGTATCTACCAAAGAACGAACACTTGTTGGGGAGGATATTGTAGCCGGAATAAGCTAGCTAAATGACAAAGCCTCTCAGGAAGTCGAGAGTAAGGCAAATGTAAAGGATTGGTTTTTCCAACGGGTCAAAGGTGACCTCTAGTAATCAATTGATCACTGTCATGTGAAAAAGTGCACATGTGTTAAGAAGTTGCGCACAGTGAATTTAGCATTAAAGGATGGTCTATATTACGATCTAACGATTGACATCGATATTTTGATGATCTGAGCAGAGGCTACGTGTAATGTAAAAATCTAAAGGTATTGTGAAAGTGTTGTTGTTGTAGCAGCTGAAATACCAGAAGGGCTACTATGTGCCCAAATTTAGGAAGGTTACAACCTTTTAGGATGCGTCCATAGGAAATTCAGAGATGGGTGAGTATGCTCAGTTCGGTACTTGAATAAGTGCAACATGTCGTGCGGTCTTGGTGGAAGAGGGATGTCATTAAATTTCCATGGTAATACTTAAGCAACTAGAATAACATGGAGTCGAGTACTTAATATCAGCCCTCAATTTGTATATTTCCTGAAGCCTGGAAAGTAGACAGGATATTCCCACTACTGAAGAATGGTGAAGTGTACAGGCCGATCAAATATCTGTCGCCAGTAGCTAAGACATTTGAGGCGCAACTCAGACTAGAAAGAGTGTTGCCAAGATGTAGAAAAGTTTTTAATAATGTAAATTGATTTTTACACAGAAGAGCTAATATTGGTTCAACAGTGGGTGGGGAGGATGGAAGCATGATGATGACATGTGCATTAATTCAAATTCAATTTATAGTCAAAAATTGATTATGGATTTCTTATTTTATGACATTTGATTTCGAACAGCCACAATAGCAATAAGGGTGATATTTATAAGGCTGATGGGCTAGGCTAACAGTGTTCCCTTTTGTATGTAAGAAGATAAGAAGATTACTACTTCGGCACAAGTTTAAAACTTATAGAGTTTTATAATACCTATAATTACGTCTATAAGTAAATAATATTTTTAGCAGTTTTATTTCATCATAATATCAAACCCATTATTTGGTTTGATATTATGATGACAAACTTAGTTTATAGAATAAAGTACGTTTACATATGCGCTATTTACAACTTTATCACGATTTTTTGGACATTGTAATTTACATACATGCTGTTTTTGACACAGTATTCGAATTCGTAATTAAACATTGTTAGGATTTAGATCAATTTTATTTTTGCTTGCTAAATTTTCATAGAAAACTTATCATTAAATGGAATTAGAAACAAAATAAAACAATTTCATATTTTTCTTGGTTTTTTTTGTTCATTGTTTTGTGTTTTTTACTTTGTAGGAGTAAAGTTTTCAAAGCGAAAAATATTCATAAAAGATATATTGTTGAGGTTTCCTCGTTAAGTTTTAGTTTCTTGGTTTTTACTTCGCTTTAAATTTGTGGGAGATAATTTGAGGGTGTAAGTGGTTTCGTTTTTTTCTTCATTTTCTTTTTTTACTTAATTTCAATATTATTTTGTAATTAATAATAAAGTTTTTTTTTTTTTGTTTTGTTTTGTTTTATGCATGTTTTCTGATTTTTTTCTTCTTCTTTTTTTTTTGTTGTTTTGTATATAGGGGGAAAGATTTGTTTGTTAAATACTTCATTTTTTTAATAATAAACTTAATAGAGCATTTTTTGCATTTTATTATTATTTTTGTTGTTTTCTTATTATTATTTTTTTTTTTAATTTTTGTATATAGTTTTCCTGTTGCCTCTGTTTTCATCATTTCTTTTCATTTCATATATATAATTATATCATAATAATAATTTATTTCTGTTTTTTGTTTTGGTTTTTCTATTCATCACTACATGCTTATTTTCCCGGTATATTTCTGCATTAGAAATGTACGGCCTTATTTTAAAAATTACTTCCTGTTTGTGTGTGAGTGTATATGTGTGTTTGTTTGTTTTTTTCTTTTAGTTAAAGTATTCAAAAAATTGTTGTTATTTGTGTGTGTTTGTAGCGTGTAACTGGCCTATGTGTTTGTCAGTGTGTGTGTTTTGGTGATTTTTTTGTTTGTTTTGCATTTTGTTTCTTTTGTTATATAATACCTAACTATAGATTTACTTATCTTCACCGATACCCTCATCGGCTGCTGTAGGCTTTTTATCATCGCCCGAAGCTTCATCAGCAGCTTTAATATCACACTTTTCAGCCAGCATATCTTCAATGCCTTCATCTATTGGTTTATTCTCCGACTCGGCTTCTAGTTCGGGAGCCGAGGGCTCAGGACCACCGTTTGTATGTATAGGATTCGGTGTCATTTTGACTCGGCACGTTTCATAAACTTTTTCAAAACCTAACTTAGTATACAGATTACGAGAAGCATCGTTTTGTGGACGTATCACAACGAATGGTTTATAGCCTCGTTCAATAACTTTTTTGGTTAAAGCTGTAGCCAAACGAATGCCATAACTGTAAGGGTGGAAAACAAGTAAAATATTTAAAACAGGTTCTATGATAAAATAAATGAAAACTAAATACTAAAGAAAAATTTAAATTTTTAGAAAAATCGTCAGCCTAAAAGTATGCTACGTTTATAACGATGGTCAAGGGACCAACAAAATTGGTTGGGATAAGTGATATCAAATAAAAGGCAGGATATTTTTTTGTACTTTTTGATATCGCCGTTTACACGACACTTAGTTAAAAACTTTTTCGTTACAAAGGATTTTTTTTTTGGAAAACATTTGCTTTTATCTCAATTATCAATTATGTTTTGAAATATTTTTAAATCTCTTTTTTAATCCACTTCTTGTAATCCATTGACCATCTTCTTTGGTTCCTAATATTGGTATAGGGTCTTCAGTTTTTTCTTCACAACTTACCCCAATCTTCTATAGTTTGGACGTGTTTGCATGGAAAACATAGCACCATAATATGAATGTACCATCCATGCGGCCAATTCATTCGTATCCTTACGAAAGACACCCAAACCGGGCAGTACTCGTACCAAAATATTAAAAACATCGACACATTCAATTTCATTGGCCGGATAGAGATCGTGTATGTGCTCGACATCCTCCACTTTCAGTGGACGCATTTCAGCATCGTCGGGCAGCTCTTCCAATTGCAAGTCCGTATTGAGTTTATTGCACACATAAATGTCACCTTCCAGCCGCTCCATGATTCCCTTTTTCTTATAGAAATCATCCAGGCGATTCATAATAGCAATGTGCGTAAAATTCAGGTACAGTGGTAGTGACCAATCGATTAGAATGTCTTCGGTTTCCATTAGATCGACATGTTCGATCTGTTCTGAGGGGCAGAATATGCCAAAGCTGCGATAAATATTGTTTTCGGGCTGTGTGTGGGAGGAACAGAAAAATGCGGCAAAATGTTAAATTGGAAAAAGGGATGGTATGAAATGCGAATATATTACCGTTAGCGTGCATCCTGGAAAATGTAAGATAATGGGTTTCTCTGGCCAATCTTTCGATACATAAAATTTAAAATCCCAAACACGATCATTCAGGTACGTTCGTATTGTTTGATGAAACTGAAAAAGAGAAAAAAGAAAAAGAGAAAGAAATTGTAAAACTTTGCTGGAAATGTTAAAGAATAGAATTCTAATCCTATGAATAAATTTAACAAAAAATCAGGATTTTCAGCGGCCATCTATCGAAGTCGACTCAGCGAGTCGAGATATGACCAATATTTTGCGGCGTTACAGCTACACAAACATATAATACCCTCACAATATAGTAAAGGGTGTAAAAATTGAATGTGGCAAGGACTATCAAAAAATATCATTAATGTGGCGGACCATTGTGTGGGCGCAATGCCCACATATCAAAACGTAGACCAATATATCCCATTCGATATACACACAGAATGTACGCAACATATTGTAGGATTAATATCCAACTGAAGCCATACCGGATATCTCTTACAGGAAGTCAGGGTATGAACGATCTACAAGATCTAAATGAAGCTATAATATTATAAAAATTAAATTAAATAGGCTGTAATTTTGTATTTTAAATTCTCAATGAGTAGAAAATCTCCCTACCAAACTCTTAAAAAGCTCTCAAACAAATGCCCTCTATAATATCCGGTATGTTGAAGTTCCTTCTTCAGTTTTTCAACCTGAGTGTCTGTAACTTGAAACATTGTTTTTTTCAGAGCATGAACAACCTACTACCACATAATGCAATAAAATAATCTACATATCAGGGCCCCGATCGATTTAAGAACTTTGGAATGCACACCACCTGTTGTTTTGTTTTGTGTTTTACACTACCACATGTACAAATTAGAATATTAGAGAAGGAATAAATTTAGAAGTCATCTTTGGATTTGATTGTCCTAAACTTCTAGGAATTCTGTTTTTTTTGTGAAATCCTTCAGTTTTTTATTGGTTATTTCACGAAAGGTGTAATTTCTCTTATCCACACGCTCTACACCAGTTGCTTCCCTCGCATTCAATCATCTGTGAGAATACCGGTCAGTCTACTGATTTCCGTTTTGTTTAGCTTTAAGATTTGTTTTATCATATCCTCATTTGGGTCTATCCATAAAATTTTTGTGTTTTCTCAGTCCCCACGCTATTCCAAAGAGTTTTGTGGGTTTCCGTTACCCATGACCTCAGTTTTGCACGCGTTGCATTAAAAGGCGTTATTTACATCTATTATAGGTGGTCGGTTGCATTTCTGGTGAGTATATTTGCTATCACGTTTCCTATTATTCCAATGTGAATCGTAACTTGTTTTATATTCATGGTTTTCATCCATTTCAACTGCTAAACATTTTGTGAACTGTTTATAAACAGGTATGTCCTAATCCTCTTTCTAGTGTAATATTTCAAATCATAATTGTGTTCGGTTGAGGGAAAAATAAAGTTCTGGACCAGGATTCGGAGAATGATTAAACTACTATTTTTCTCACGGCGATAATTCGAATGTTTTCAACTTATCGCGAATGATAAAGTTACAATGAATGAACAAGCATTGGTCATCTCTCGCGAATGTTCGCATTGTACGAAAAATTCACGAACGAGCATTGTTTGCTGAAGAACATTCATTTGAAAAACTCAAAAAACAAATTTTCGCGAATGCTATCGAGCGCTGATAAAAACAACAACAAACAAAAATATCATAAAAAAAGTAACACGCACAGCGAATGAATGTGTGTGTAGCATAAAGTGTTGAGCACGTGTGGAATAACAACACACATGCCCAACAACTATTGAGTTGACAAACGTTTGTTGTTATTATCGTTGTTGTATTGAGCATTCGCAAGAATTCGCGAGCATTCGTGAATGTTTGTTGTTATTCGTGAGCGAATGTCAGAAAGAATTTCAACCACCAGACGAAAAGAACGATCGTTGTTGTGTACTCTCACTCGTTTGTTATGTGCGTGCGAACATTCGTTTGGTGAATGCAGCGTTGCCAGTTTTTTTCTAAATTAAATCCCCAAATGAAGATATGTTATCCCCAAAAATCCCCATACATAATTTATAATCCCCAAAAAATTCCCTATACATTTAATTATGCTCTGTTCCAGAATCTACTAGAATCTTTAATTTATCAATATTGAATTAGATTTTCCACTAGATTTTAACATTTTTTCGATATAATAAAGAACGTTTGTTGTCGTAGTAAAAAGTAGTACTACGACAATCCCGAAACCAAAAATCGAACCCCCCATTTCAAAACAAAAATTACCGCTATATGGACAAGGCGAATTGTGATTTCAGGGATCGTTTCATGATGTTACTCAATACAACAAACATAAGACGAAGTTCAGTTCAAAGACTATCGTCTCCCAAAACTTTTACGATGGTTTCTTAATCAGTAGTAGACAAAGCTATCGTAAGCCATTCAGTAATTTTCTGCATTTCAAACATCTAGCTTTTGTATTTGTTACCTTCTTATTAAGAATATCCAACTCCACTGCTTTTTTGTCAAGTTCCAATTACTTTCAATAACTACATACCTGCCCTTCAGCGCCATTATGGCAAGAAAGCAAATAACCACTACTTCAGACAATATCAAACAAATAAAATTTATTATATAACAAAGTTCAAGGAAATCTAACATTAAATGAATTTGTCTATAATGTATGTATACGAATTGTTCGAAAAAGAAGACCTTTAAAAAAAACACAAATAATGGCTTTGTTCAAAACTTTATTGTGTCCATGAAATAGAAGAAAAACACACACACAACAACAATAACAACGGCCATTACTGCAGTAACAACAGAATTTGACATTCACTACCAATTTGCAATACATTTTCCTAAGAAGCCTTATAACATATAGCTATAGCTGTGTACTATATGTCATCTGCACGTACAAAAAAAATGACGCATAATGTATGCTAAAAGGACTACTTCACGAACATGTTAGGACAAAACACACATGTACACATATCTTGTTTCGAAGTAAAGAAAAAAGGAATCAAAAACATTCGACCTTGTCGTTACCAAAAAAAACCAACATGGTACTTGAAAACAATCATTTTTGAATCGTAATTACAGGTATATAGAGGATTTGTTTTTTCTTCAATTCTTGGTTAGCATTTTGGTTGTCTCCTACTTCGGTAATGATTGTTTTTCACTTTAGGAATCCACAACACCCAAGGGAGCGAGGGAACTCACATCCAATGCACCATCAAATTGCTATGTTTGACTATTTACGTTTTGTTGGTGCTATTCTCTATCATTTGTGTGTATGTGTGCGTGAATGCCTCTGCTTGTGGCCTCAAACAAATCTATGCAATTTCTCATATGAAAACACACCTTTCAAGCGCCCAATCCAAATAAATCTTTCAAATGTTTTCCTTATGAAAAAAAACATCGTCAAAAGGGCAACAACAAACTCTTCGTTAAATAGGAACGGATGTTCGTTCCTATGCATAGGAAGCCATAGCTATGGCTTGTTATAGATTTTAGGGATTTCAGTTTAAATGTTTATTTATGTATGGTAATAACGAAGAGCGTGTTTATATTTGCTGAGATACTAAACGCGAAATAAATAAATCTTCAATGAATTCAAATATTTTATAGAATAGGACATTTTGCAATTTAGAATCTTTTACAAAATTTATATTGATTTCAATAATTCGAACATCTATTGTCGTAGTAGCATTTTTATCGCCTACATAACTATGTTGTAAAGGTATTTTAATTTTATGTGGCCCGAAAAGATTGTAAAGCCAAGAAATATTGGTTCTTGACTCACATTTTATTATATCTTTGCTAGCAGAATCGCATCCAGACATGTGTCCGTCTGTCCATTATAATTTTTAAACGAGTGGAGATCACAGTTATGTACCCACGAATTTCATCATGGGGAAGGTCACGAATTTCATCATGGGGAAGGTCCCAGGAATAGTTATGTATGTTTTGTTGATGATAGGTCAATATTTAACTGGTAAAATGGACCATGCAAAGAAATGTTGCAAGTTTAAAATAAAGTACAACGATGATGATCGGATAATAGTTATGGTAGCTTAATATTTGTCTGTTTTTCTAATCACACTATATATTAGAAGCAAAAATATGGGAGTGGTCGTTTTTTAGGTAATATTTCTTTTTTAGATAATATTATGTTTCATCCTCACAATATTCTAGAAAAATGTAGCTAATAAAATTTGGAGTGGGTTCATGAAATACAAGAAACCGAATTTTTAACATTTAAATGGTCAATTCTCAACTTTACCCGTTTTTTTCACTAAAACCCTATATGCATGTATTTCAATTCAGTGTAGGGGAGACAGGTACTTATTCAACATATATAAAAACTTTATGGTTACTGTCCTCTGACACTTAATTATAAAAACTAGTACCAAAAAGATATAAAAAATTAGTATTAGTTTAAAATTTTTACAGTTTTTAAAAAAAAAGTCAAATTTGCCGAATGTACCCCAACCCGGGGTAGCTTCTGCATTTTTAATGGGACACATTCGGCACCATAGTCATAACCCGGTAATTATCATCGCTATCTGTCTGGTTGAAATTCAGATCCTCTAAAGGCTCTATTTGGTTTTAATACGCGACACAATGTTTGAATTTTAGGGCTATATTTTCTAACGGCGGACGTTGAAATCTCAAGATCGCACACACCATCAGAAATTGGTTTTTTTTCTATCGCATTTTCGTCAATATAAGCACGTTTAGTCTTATATATGTAATTTCGAACCATATTAAAGGATTATTTTTAAAGACAAACTCAAAAACATTTTAAGGAATTAATATTGCACTATCTGTATATGGCCGAATGTGCCCCACTTTAAAATGCCGAATATACCCCGAATGTACTTTTTATAGTTTTTTTCATGTATTTAAATATTTCTATAATAATACACATCGTAATTAACCACTTGTTAATAATATTGTCTTAAAATTTGAAAAGTTTTTTACACAAAATGCTTACAAAAAATCGTGCATTTAAAAATCTATTAGCTAGAAATTTCAAACTTTGTGACAGTTATTTATTTCGATATTCGATACCTATGTATCGAAACTAGTGATGTACGGTGAGAGCTTTATATCG